TTTTTTATTGCATGTATGCAATTTGGAAAATCTGCAATATATTTTTAGGCAGTTATCTTTAAAATAATGAAACTTGAACTCTTAGCACAAACAGCCCTGAGAACAATGCATTCAAATTACAGCTCAACTAGAAATAATCTAATTGAGAAACCTTAAAAGTACAAAAACAAATTCTGAAAAAGTCGTAAATTAAAAAAAAAAATTACCAACATTTGAGGCACTACCATACTACAGTACTTTTAAGACTTGGAAAGACTTTGTTAAAAAAACAAACATACAAAGCTGTGTGTGCACATGCACACACATTGTGCTATAATAATGAAACACTGTGTCCCTAATTTTATAGACTAAACATTTTATTGCAGCATCTATTAATGATATATCATGCTCTGGCTGCTGCAGAGTTTTGGTAACTGTTATAAAGCATTGGTAAGGAATTTTGTATCATCAGTGGAAACTGATTCAAGAGCGTGGTTAGCAACAATTTCAAGTGACTGACAGCCCTTGGAAGGGAGCAGGAAAGAAACATCATAATTGTGCTGCGAATGCTAAGTCAAAGTAGAAAAGATCTGATCTATTTCAGAAGGTATACAACTTTATAGCAAATAAGGTATAACAAAGCCTTCACAGTACAAAGAAAATGTTCTAGAAAGAAACACATATTCCACTTGTTAATACTGTATATCAACGATCTGCAACCAGTGTGTCACAAGAATTTTTAAAACATGCAATACTCGACTATTTGGTCAGGGGCACTGACCTCTTTTCCCTTAGATTGTCAAATGAAAAAAATGACAACAGCCAACACAACAATAGTTGTCGGTTGTGAATCAAAATTATACTTTTTTTTTAAAACCAGGTCAGCAAAAAATATATTTTTTGGTGTGCCGCAGAATTTTAGCAATTAGTTTATGTGTGCCATGAGATGATACAAGGTCGAAAATTGCTGTTGTGTATAAACTGGTGAAATGCCTGAAGACAAACATGGTGTATCACTGTAGAACCTTATCAACATGACAGTCTACATTTCACACATGGTAACTTGTGATATTTACCATTCGTTGCAAAAAAGTACAAATACTAGGAATCAACTTTGAACATCTCTGATGTCAAAAAAGAATGAAGTCACTTCTGTTTCATGTTAAAAAATGTTTCCTTGCTTCTTTTTAATACAATTTACAAAGCTTTACTAAATGAAATATTTTGTTCTAGAGAAACATATTGACTTATGTGAAAATAAACAGTCCCATATCTTTAAAATCTATACTTACATGTCAGAAAAGTATTTATACTTCTTTATAGTACTTAAAATGAATTATTTGTGCATAAATAGCTTTTGCCATTCAAAGTCTGAAGATAGAGATGCATTATTATAATTTACATACACTTACCTTGCAATTGAAAATATATTTATGTGAAGTTTGACAAGTTAGGAAGAACAAAGGCATGCTGACCCAGAATTAATACAAACCAGAACACTAGTATGGTAAACTGGGGTCATATGCATGACCAGCAAGCAGCACAGCTGGATAACTTTCTAGAATTCCTGTGGGTAATAATGTCAACCAGTAGCAAATAAGATACACATTATAAAATACTAAAAAACAAGAGTAGTATGTAGTAGATACTAAAATGGAATATTGGAAAGAATTTAGTCTAATTCCTAATTGTGCTTTAGATGGGCAAAAGTTAAAATGCTGCACTAAAAATGATTAATTGCAACCTCAATATTTCTTGTGCTTTAGAATTCTCTTTGCATTTCTTTAAAGTATCTTACTTCTTCTCCAAATGGGTTTGCTGAGGCTAACAAGATTTAAAAGTATGAGCAAATTAAGCAACAAAACTTTGGGATCTTCTGTTTTTAATGCTATTTCCAGCCACTGATTAGATTAGTTGCAGTACCACATATTTTCTTCTAGATGATAGGGATAGGAATAAAGGCCTTGTGTAAGTCAAGGCGTGATGGGAGAGGTCTCATAATCAGTCATAGAGAATGGAGGTATTCTGAAACAGTAATTTTGTTCTGAGTTTCACTCCAATATCATCGTTGTTACTGAGTCAAAGGTCCTCACAAACCCTATGACAATGTTTAGAATTCTGGAAATAAGGTGTGTGGGTACAGAAATGTAGCAGTCACCTAAAACACTTTTTAAAATAATTCAGTTTTACAGAATTTCTTCCTAGCTACATGAGTAACTGAATTAAGTCACGTGACAATCAGAAAAAATACATATAAGTACTTCTTAATGATTATCACATAAAGTAACTTTTCTTCCATAATTCATTTCATTCTAGAAAAAAGTGTACATAAATTTAACAACTGTTTCAATTTGAAGTTAGAATTTCCAGTCTTTGTCTGACATAAATACATATATATTTCTTAGATGACATAAATATTTTGATGTTAAAAAAGTCTACTTACAAATGCTTGGAAAGGAATGACTACTAAAATAACATTTATCAACATAATGAAAAGCACTGCATACTACCTTGCAAAGCAAGTCACTGCTTTAAATAGAGAGAGAAAGAGAAAAAGAGAGAGAGAAAGAGAGACCAAAAGCTGAAAGCAAAAGTACAACTAGAAGCTTTCTGATTACAAAGGCCTCAAGTAAAAAAGTATAGCTTTAACGAACTCATTTTGCCACTGTCCCTGTGTCTTCTTTACAATATGATTTTTTAATAGTTACCCAACAGTTTACTGCCTCTCTGTCAACCACAGCAGGTATAAAAATCACCATATATAAGGTTATATTAAGTCGGCCAACAATTTGGCAAAGAACAGTAAGACCAAGGTAATACAGGGTACTGCACTGACACTTTCTGATAACATGATTTTTGTTTAAGAATTGTGCTTGCCACACATCGGCTGAAACTGTGACAATTCCAATCCATTATCTACTTACTCTATATGTTAGGTGTGAAATTAATACAGAACAATTCAACTTAAATGTGGTACTTCGATAGCACTGGATGCTACATTGTTTGATTTAAAACCCTGGTTTATTTATCACTTAACTAAAATTCACGAATGATATACTCAAATCACATCTGTGGAAGCTACCTTGTCTGTTTCTTGGACTCACATACTGACAACCACAGGAATGTTATAAAAAATACCTACAAAAAAAAAAAAAGAATTATACATCGTGATTATTTTTTTAAATTACTAATTGCGTGCAAAACTAACTCAGCACAATTTCAAGACAATTAAAAGATAAATGAGGTTGCTTCTGAAGGCCATAGCTTTGGTGACAACTTAGAACCAAACTTGAGATCTGTAGCTGATCCAGACCTAAACAGTTTGTCATGCCTGATGCTCCCATTTATTTGCAGGGCTTTATGGCTACAGCATATTCTTCACTCATCGCACACATGACAGACACCTAGGAGGAAAAATGCAAGCAAAAGTTCTTCAGAAGGCAAGACATATGTAAGATATAGTTAATTCATTATATACTGTATATTCGTGGATATTTTATACATATTAACTTTGGAAAGAGGTATCCCAAGATCAAATAATCTCCTTTCTTTATAGTTCCCAAAGAGAAATTTTTCAAATTGTGGTTTTTAGACAACTTCCAGGGAACAGGGAGAATAAGAACTATAAATGTTTCAATACTTACTAGATGTTACGTATTTCCATAACATTCCTTCTCATACTAAAAATAAGAATAGTTCAGATATTGATCTTCAACACAAATTTGAGGGGGACAATGTCTATGTAGCAAAAAATTTAACTCTGATACTTTCTTTGGTAATGGGTCTTTAAGGATATTATAGGAAAACTACTTTATAGACATCATTTTCAACATTTTGGCAGTATTTAAAAACTACCTTCATGTAAGTATTTTATGCAAACTAGATGGAGCCAAATTTTTATAAAATAGTTTTAAAAAATAATCCTCCCATAGGTCTTTACCTGTACATCTTCACCTGCATTATATTTTCCTTCTATTTCTTTGCCTAGTTCACCTTCTGGCAGCTTTAGATCCTCACGAACTTCACCAGTTTCTGTCAGCAAGGAAAGGTAACCATCCTGAATGCATATCAGCTATTGAAAGGAATTATATTTGCACCAATTAGATTATATCCACTCCTTTGTAATATTTACATAGTTAAGTTGCAATCCACATCAATTAGTATAAGTACACAGTAATACATTAATATTTTCTTCATGCTTAAAAAATGTTAGACACATAAAACTATAAAATATGTATGGACTAAAAGTGTAAATTCACTCCTCCCTGCACTTCCCCTGCACCCAAGTCTCTGCATTATTAAATAGTTTAGGCTTCTTTATAATGTATCCCGAAGCATTTACATTTATGTACACACTATAAGTATAATTATTTAAAGAAACATAAATAGTACAAGTATTTTTCAGCAAGTTATTTTCACTTAATAACATGTCTTAGAACTCTTTCCAAATTGGAAAATATGGACCTACCTTAGTCCCTTTAACTTTACAACTGCATAGATACACTGTAACTGATTTAATCATTTTCCCATTGATGGGCATGAAGGTTAGTTTTTCACAATTACAAACAATGTGTATTTTAGTTTGATTATGAACAAAGTGGAAAAATTTTAGTCTCCAACTCACTGCTTAACACCACCAGATTTTTTTTTAAAAAAAAGACAAACACTGGCTGTTGATGACAAAATGAAACAAACCCAGGTATCAACCTAATTTGCAAGAAGCCACAGTTTTGATATAATTAAATTTCTTTTATTATAGGCATGAGGAAACAGCCAGGCTGTATTCATTATTCTAAAAGCATGTATACCATCAGTGTGCCTAGACCAGCCGTGGGCAAACTACGGCCCGTGGGCCGGATCCGGCCCATTTGAAATGAATAAAACTAAAAAAAAAAAAAAGACTGTACCCTTTTATGTAATGATGTTTACTTTGAATTTATATTAGTTCACACAAACACTCCATCCATGCTTTTGTTCCGGCCCTCCGGTCCAGTTTAAGAACCCATTGTGGCCCTCGAGTCAAAAAGTTTGCCCACCCTTGGCCTAGACTCTAACAGGAGTTATAGAAGGCAATCACCCTGAATACTAGATGTTAACATTGACATACACAGAAGGAGTTAAAGACATGGTCGTGGACCCCTTTCACTACTATGATATAACACATCCCACTGAAGGGGTAGAGTTTCAAACCGCTCCTCTATGGCACTAGCAAAGCTGGCTCTGACTTTCTACACTAACCCCAAGGACCACAGGAGTTTTACACGACTAAAATCTCAAAAACAAAAAAATAAATAAATATCTTCCAAAGCAACCACAAACACTTTTAATTAATCTTTATGTCCCTCAAACATTTGTGAGGTGGTTGACAGAGGAGCAGGCAATAAGGAGGTTGAGGTAGAAGTATAATTTTTAAACAATTAATTACAGGCTTACAAGGCAGATCTTTTTTATTTTTGTTCTTTTAGCAATTCCCTGAAGTGGAACCTATTGATTTCAAGATTTAAAGATTCCCACTGCCATTAGTGACTGAAATACAGAAGCCTAATAATAATATGGTATTTTGATATTTATTTATATAATGGTTGTACTTTATTTTTTGCCAAGAATTCATAAAATACTAGGATGAAAAATAAAGCATTTCAAATATAAAAATGTATAAACACAAAACAAAATGTAAAAATGTATTTATATATTAAATATCTTATTAAAATAAATTGCTTTATGAAATGTAATTAAAACTTTAAGAAAACAGCTATAGAAAAAATAAAATTAAATAATGAAAATGAATTATTTTATCTTTCTTATATAAGTTATTTAATTTTTAAAAAAATATATTTTTATTGATTTCAGAAAGGAAAGAAGAGGGAGAGATAGAAACATCAATGATGAGAGAGAATCATTGATCAGGTGCCTCCTGCACGCCCCCCACTGGGGATCGAGCCCACAATCTGGGTGTGCTCTAACCAGGAATCGAGCCATCATAGGTTCATAGGTCAATGCTCAACCACTGAGCCACACCAGCTGGACTAAAATTTTTTTAGATATACAGAAAAGTTAGAAAATTGCATTATCTTTTACCTAAATTCATCCATTGTTAACATTTAACCATGCATTCATTTTTCTCTGTGTATATATATATAGAGTATATAAAGTAAATAGCATACGTTCCTATTCTTTTCTTACTTTTACTCAACCATTTGAAAATATGTTTCACACAGGACTCTTTAGCAATAAATACTTCACTGTATTTCTCCTAAGAACAAGGACATACTCTTTCTGACACTGATGTTTTTGGAGAGCACAGATTCACTGTATTATAGAATGTTCCTTATTTTGGGTTTGTTTCCTCATGATTCAGGTAATGCATTTTTGGAAGGAATAAATACTACATGAGTGATGTGTCCTCAGAAGATCACATCATAAGGCAGATGATTTCAATTTGTGCTATTACTTGTGAGATTAACTTTGATCACTTGGCTAAAGGAGTAGCCACCAGATTTTTCCACTCTAAAGATAGAATTTTTCCTTTAAAAAAAAAATGCAATAACAACAACAAAAAGATAAGCGTGTCATGTTGAGTTTTAAGCATATTTTTGTGCAATTTCCCCCCATCTTCTCTCAAAGTCCTCTCTGATGCTATAGAGTTAGAAGGAAGGATAGTGAGGAGGCAGTTATAAGTCAATTCTAAATATTTCCTTCTGATCTTTCGTCTTTATACAAATCTACTCAGTGATAAATATAAAATGTTTTGAACAATTTTTTGGATGGGGGTAGAAAGAGTATATAATTATTTGTTATTAGCAAGCAGGCAGATGGGAGAGAACAGGGTCAGAAAACTTGACCACTAGGCCCATATTAAAGGGACCCTCAGAAGCTTACATGAATAAGAGCCCCCTGGCCAAAGATAGGATAGTCTGAGAACTGATAAGGATAATAACTACAATGAATTGAAATACAAATACAGTGGGGCCTTGACTTACGAGTTTTTCCTTCCGAGACCGAGCTCCGACCAAGCTCGTTAAGGAGCTCGTTAACTCAAATTACTCTGTCAACTCAATGCAAAAATTGGCCGAGAGACAGCTGGTATCTCAAAAACAATGCAAAAAATTGGCCGAGAGACAGCTGGTATCTCAAAAAACTCGTTAGTCGGGACACTCTAAGTCAAGGCCCAACTGTATGTTTAAAGCTCATAGTGAAAAACACATTTGATTGAGCATATTCAGTGAATACTACGGAACCAACTCATTTTGAAAACCGGTA